CCACCAAGCTGGCTGCAGTCCTCCTAGCTGTTCGGTAGATGTCCATACCGTCAGACACATCAGGTGGTATGTCCCATCCTGGCCCTTCACCTGGGGCTGGTCTGTCCCCAGGGCCCATCCTGGGCCCCAGTCCTGGACCGGACCCTTCACCAAGTTCTGTCCACAGCATGATGGGGCCAAGTCCTGGACCTGGAACACCTAATGCTCCTCACGGCATGCAGGGCCAAGGACAAAGTGACTACTCTCAGGACAGCATGTATCCTATGCACAAGGTACGGAGCAGCTGTAAACACAGGTGTTTCCTGATGTGGACCATCCTCCCCTCATGGTGGGACGGACCACAGTCTGCAGAACAGTGTTGTGTAACAAGATGTCCCCCGTTGTGTTTCAGCCTGTGGAGGGGACGCTGAACGATAAGACCATGGCAGAGGCCATGCATTTCAGTCACATGAAGGGTGTCGGGATGAGATCACTCCACAGTGGCATGGGACCTCCTCAGAGTCCTCTGGACCAGCACAGTCAAGGTCTCCTCTTTGATGTGTTTCTTTTCTGTTTTCAAAGATGTTTGTTTGTCTCATTTTACAAGTTACAGAACACTCACAGGACTCCTCCTCTCAGGGTAAATTTTAAAACTTTTATTTTTTTGTTTTTAGGATACATGTCTCCACATCCGTCCCCCATGGGACTTCATGAACACGCTTCTAGTCCCATGTCCGGAGGTGGAGGTGGACCTACACCCCCACACATTCCTCCATCACAGTCAGGTCCGATGATGTCTCTGGATCCTCAGGGAGGCATGTCCAACATGTCTGGTATGGGACAGCAGGGCCGAGGGCCCTCTGCCTTCAGCCCGGTCCAGCTGCAGCAGCTCAGAGCTCAGATTCTGGCCTACAAGATTCTGGCCCGCGAGCAACCGCTGCCCGAAAACCTCCAACTAGCTGTTCAGGGCAAAAGGAGCCTACCCACAATGCAACAGCAACAACAACAGCAGCAGCAGCAGCAACAACAACAACAACAACAACAGCAACAACAACAACAGCAACAACAACAACAGCATCAAGCATCTGGTTCCAGTCCGTACAGGCCTTCAGGTAGGAAAACCATTTATAGTAATACTTTACAGAAACTGTGCTCCAATACTTCAGTACAATAATACTATACAAGGTTTACTTCAGTACAGTAATACTATACAAGGTTTACTTCAGTACAATAATACTATACAAGGTTTACTTCAGTACAATAATACCATACAAGGTTTATTTCAGTACAATAATACTATACAAGGTTTACTTAAGTACAGTAATACTATACAAGGTTTACTTCAGTACAATAATACTATACAAGGTTTACTTCAGTACAATAATA